ACACATAGTCAAATATATAGCTGTATACTAAAAGGACATAAGAATAAAAAAATACAGATCCCAATAAGCCTTCTGATTTATGTCATCCAGTTTATTGTTATTGTTCTTGACTTCTTCAGTATTAACTGCTTTGCAATATAACGGCCATTCCCTTAAACTTAAAGGGTATTGTTAACCAAGAACAAACTATTAGTGCTGTTATTTTCCTCTGCATAATTACTTCACTCCATTTAATATAAATTAGGAAAGAGCAGGAGATTGGAAGATTTCAAGGAAAAAGTCATCAGATTTAACTGATTTTTACATTTACATTATTTGATGACTTACACTGTGTACTTTATGTTGGAGTAAGCTGTATAGAACAGAGGTCGAATTTATCTTCAAGCAGATTTGTATGAAATTGAACCTTGAGACATTTTTCTGTGCCTATTGCAATCTTGCGTAAGGGATGTGCAGCATATGCCTCTAGAAATGTGAAGGTCTGAAGTTGTGGAGATGGGGTGGGGAGAGCAGCTCTCCTTTCTTTTTCTGGGCCTTCCAGTTGTAACTATCCCCTCACCACAGGCGTAAGGTAATCTGTAATGCAGGGGCTTGCCACTGATGTCCATAACTATCACTGTTCTCAAAAATGGCAGTAAAGGTTAACTCATGATGCATGTTTCCATAGTGCTTCTATTCACCCAGCAACATTTTGTAATGCCTGTCAGGAGGTGATATTAGAAAATCAAAATGATGACTTGTTGTAACCTAAGTATATCTATCTATCAAAGAAAAAGATAAAGAACAGAAGGTGGCAGAAAATAATTCCACTGGTTTTCCTTCTGTTTAATTAGTGCTTTGTAACTGGCTATGCCTTCTGTGGCAATAGTAGCCTTTAAGGACACTCATGAAATATTCTCAAAATTCCAAATGTGCCCACCAGAAATCACTGCTGGAATACATAAGTATTATAGGATAATTCATTCTGTCATATGTCTTGATTAGAGAACTCAACATTTGCAACCATGCCATCTTCTGGAACAAAAATAGAGAATAACAGAGAAAGTCTGGTGACATACTTGAACTCAAGGACATAAAACGGCTAGATATAATCTTCACTCAGGTTTGGTTCTGAGTAAATCCATATCATATCAGTGTCACTTCAAACCAACCAATGTGTCAACTAGCAGGCTTGTCTCCCAGTCCTAAATATGTCATGTATCTATTAAAACAACTAGTGAGGAATCAACAGTTGTAACAGTCACAACTACTGTAAGATGCAAGCTGGAAAAAGCTTTGTGACTATTCCTGAAGATCTGAATAAAAAAGTTTTAAAAGGAACTCCTGAGTAATATGGAGGGAATTTTTACTGCCATCTGATAAAAGAATGCTACAAGTAAACTTTTGAATGAAGTTCTCTTAAGATTGTGCCAGAATGAATACCTCTCCTGCTTCGTTCCCTCAAATTCTCCTATCATAGCTCCCCTGTGCCAAGGCATGCCGTTTGTATTTGCTTTTCAGTATAATATGTGGCTACAAGTGCCTGCAAAGCCTTCACTTTCCTCTGCAAGGCACGCTGTGTACTTTCACATTCTTGACTTTGACTGATTGGCCCTTTCCGATCATGTGAGGGAGTTGGAATCCTGAATTGTAGCTTTTTGGCACTCCTCTTTTTCTCTCTTTTAAATTGCTTGCTCTTTTCAGCTCCTTGGGCTTCCTTCTTCTTTCCTCTCGGTACTTCAGTTAGACTGGGGAATTCTCACCCAGGAAAACTGCAGCAGCATTTTGTTTTTGTTTTTTGTTTTTAAACGGGGCACAGATGTTTAGACAGATGGCTAGCACGTCTGCCTCAGGCTGCCTCTGTGTGAATGCTATGTCAACAGAAGGCCAAGAGATGTACTTGCTATTTGATCAAACTGCAAGACGCTCTCCATACAGGAAAAGTAGGATCCTAGCACGCCAACAGCTTCTGACTAAAATTCAACAGGGTGAGTCACTTGCCTTGAGTTTTTAACTGAAACAGTGAAATGTTTGGGTTAGCCTTCTTTTTTTAACTCATCTGGTCAGTATTTCAGATTGTGGTATTTATCTAGTTTAGTTATTTTGGTTCTTGGAAATAGTCAGAATGAAACATTTCAAATTCAACTAAATTATACACGTGCATGTGCTATGTGTGAATAAGTGGATTGCATTTCTGCAGTATTATCCTTCTGCCTTAATCTGCACAGTCTCCCCCATTCAATTGCCTCTTTTTAATAGATATTCATGACCTTTGGACAGTAAATATTTGGAGTAGCAGAACTATACATGACAGATTGTCTCCCATGTGGACATGAAGGAACTACATTTTTTTTTAAAAAAATCCATTTATAGATCACAATTCCTCTGTGTACTTATTTCAATAATTTAGAAAAAGTAAGAAGAATAGATGGACCCATGTCTCCAGAGGACTCGCAAGGCATATTCTAAAGCATGTAACATTTTGTGGAAATTTCTAGGTCACTCAAGAATCGTCATTGGGCACGTCAATTTCTTTTTCCAATTATGTAATTGTGATGCTAATGGAATGGACCATTTGCCAGATTGAATATAATCAAAGTGAACTTTGGAGCCTTGGCGCAAAAAGCTGATGCTGTACATACAAAAAAAAAAGAAATCTGAATGAATGTTTCAGAAGTTAAATGAAATATCTAAAGAGAGAGTATCAAGTGCCCCATATTTCTCACTTATATGTAAGAAACTGGAAGCCAAGGCACCTATAATATTGCCTAGAATAAATCAACTAAATACCAGTAGCATATATTAAATCATGAAAAGCAGCAAGAGTAACAAAGTTCTGTATGATTTCTTATTTTCCTAGTTGGGTGCATGATGTATATTTACTCAGCAGTAAATCTCATTGAATTTAATAGGGAGTTGCAACGACAGCTGTGACCTTTGGAATGCAGATCTAAATTGTTATTACTGTTCTGTTGTATATAAGGTGAAGGGAAATCCTATTATATTTAATAAGGAACCATGCATATTTCAGCAATAAGCTGCTGATGAAGGAGATTATGCCCTTGGCAATGGAGCAAACCGTTGTTTTCAGTACAGTGTCAGGAACTGGAGATATTTGGAGGATGCTGGTCCTTGCTGTGGCTCTGCTTTCAGGAAGGATATTATGTCATGTATAATTGTGACCGAAAACAATTTTTCCTTTTGGGTTTATGTGAGCAATCCAAGCTGTATAAATTTAGTCTGAATTTACAAGTGATGTTTCCAGGAAAAGAAGAAGAAAGACTTCAAAACCTTCAAGATCATATCTGTAATGTAATGCAACCATATGATGATAGGTATTATTATTATTATTATTATTATTATTATTATTATTATTATTATTATTATTATTATTATTATTATCCTCCAATTGTATTTTCCCATTAAAACTTTAAAAAGGGTTTAATTCCTCAAGAATGTATAAACTTTTTAAGTAAGGATATAAGTCCTACAGTTTTAGAAATGTTCATTGTGATTTTGACTTGCTAAGATTTGCTCAGTTTTTTGGGGATCTTCTGAATAATATATGGCTGATGAAAACAAGAAAAAGGGCTTTTCAGTTACTTCTCAAATGAGCCTTTGTCTGTTCTGAAATAATCAGGAAAATGTGCTTCATTTCTAATTATTTTTAGTTAGAAACATTGCTGTTCTTATGTTCTAAAGTAATACACATGGAGGGCATCAAATTGAGATGGCTATCATACTACATACTACATCATACATTAATATTATTTGTTATATATGCAAAATATGTTTTTTCTAGTATTTTTGTGTACAAAGTGAATTTCACTGGTATTTTTGTTTAGCTTGATTTTAGTATAATTTTTATCCAGAATACTACGGTATATATATTTCTAACCCAAAATGTATGGCATTTTGGGCTAGAAATATAGAATATTAAGACTGAATGCATTCTTAACCAAATTACCCAAATATCTGAATCAATAATATACTGTGCAAAACAATAACATATTTACAAATTATTTTCTTATAATTGTATTGAATTTCTCTATCTGGAAAGCATTATGATGAATTTTATGAATCTTGAAGTTTTGTAGGTTTCCCTTGAAACAAATACTGGGAAATATTTTTCCAAACAAGCATAATAGGGCTTGGACTTTAAGGATACAAGTTATACATTTTGATCCTGCTGCATATACACTAATAACTTGGATAATGTTGAAGAAACAATCAGCCAATAGACATAATTTTGAATTCATCCATCTGGATGTTACCAGTACGGCAGATCTTGTATATATAATGGCTTATTGTCCAGGCCAGGAAATTTTCTTTCTGGCAGAGGAAATGTTGTGTATGTTAGGATATGATAGTATGGAGGAAAATCCATTCTTCCACTTGAGCCAAAGAACTTACTATATAGAGTCAGCTGTTAAAAAGCTGAAATGAGTTTTTAAGGTTGTCATTACTTGTCTTCAATTTCCAAGCAGTAGTATATTTGAGGCTGTAATGTTATAACTAGCTGACAGATAAAATCATGTTAGATTAGAAAGTGGCAGAATGACTTTGATTTGTAGGAAAATCAACAAAATAATATGGTGTTTTGTCAGTCTATATGTGTAAACAAAAGTTTCAACAGAAGAGACTATTGTATATGTAGCTCAGGGTTGAATGGGAAGTCCTTGTTAGTCTCTGAGCCTGGTTGTTTCCTTGGAGAATGTTTCCTTATCTAACTAGAGAACATCATCAGTGTTGATGAGTTTGCACGATTTATATAGAGTAGTTTGCTCTCCCAGTGTTGGTGGGAATGTGTTTTTCTCCTTAGTAGGTCCTTGATTAGAGTAATGCTTTCTGCTTGAGTGTTTGTCTGGTGTAAGTCCATGCTTAGAAGAATGTTGGCTGCTGGAAAGGACATGTTCTGGTTTTTTTATTTCTTTCTTACCTTTTTATTGTCTCTTTTGAATGGCATATAAATGAGGTTTATTTCTTTGTGTCTATTGATGGCTGGTTTATCTGACTGCCAAGCTTCCAAGAATCCCCTATCTTTTATCTTGGTCTAAGATGCTCAGTTTCCCTGTTGAAACTATTGTTTGAGTCTGTCCATGTGCAGTGAGATTAAGAAGTTTTCATCATATCCTCTGACTTCTACTTGCTCTTCATGGATGTGCCCTACTAATATTCTGCCTATTTGTCCTACTGTATATACAGTCATTACACTGTATGTTATTGATGATTCCTGATTTTTCTTCTTGGGCTACTCATCTTTTGGGATACTTAAGAGGTTTTGGGGTGATTTAATAAGTTTACATGCAGCAGTGATGCTATGTGATTATAATGGTCTGTTGGTTGTTCTTGAGATGTTTTGATGTATGATAGTGTTCTTTTTTATAGCTTGTGCTGGTTGTACTGTAGTAGATTGAGTGATCAGGAACTTTTTGATAAAGTTGTGTAATTATCGATTTTGTTGGAAGATGTTGGAGTGCTTCCTTTTTCTGATGTTCTGGCTTGCTGCAGTGTGTTTGTATTCATTTAAATTATGCTTTTACCCAACTCCTCTTGTGAGAGGTTGGGTTGTTACCTTGATAATGAAGTACTTGCTTAGTGTGAATTGTTTTTCTGTAGATTTGTCTTTCTAATTTGTGGTTGTTTCATCTGTTGATGAGGATATCCAGGAAAGGAAGAGTGCTGTTGTTTTCTTCTTTCCTTGTGAATGTAATTCCTTTGAAGATGTTGTAGTTTCATGTGTCTTCTCTAGTTATTATGATAAATGCGTCATCTTATTACTGGATCCGTAGTTTTAGTTGTATGTGTGGAAGAGATTTTTTAATGTTGTATTCATGTAAGTAATTCAACTGTTTTGCCTAGTTTCATCTATCAGATATTCTGCTTGTCCATCTGCTATCAGGGACTCTGCAGCCAAGCTAGCTAGACATGTGGTGGTGTAGAATTGTTTTAGAATTGTAACAATTAGAAATAGGAGAGTGGACATTATGAAACATTTTTTTTAAATATATGTACCAAGGAGCTATTTCCAAATGGAGGCCTCGTATTTTTGAGGTCCCTAGAAAATACGCTTTTTGTGGAAATCCACCTAAGTAGGAAGAGAAAAGTGAATGGAAGTGGCTGTGTTGTGCCTGTTCCTTAATAAAAACAGATCAATGGCAGAATCAGAAAGTAAAATGAAGAGAAAGGTCACAGGGCCCCAGAAATCAACAGAGGATGTTCAACAATGCTGTGTGTTGGTCTTTGCCAAACTTTCTTTTAAAACATATAAAAATTGTATCATTTTTTGTAATCTAAACCTTTGTAATTAATATAGAATGTTTCATTCTAAAATTTTGGGGCTGAAGATTTAGCAAGTGAATCTTTTGTGGCCCAGCATACCAGAAGAACCATCTGACTACAGAGTCAAATATCCAGGGTTGATACTTCTCCACTCTATTCATGCCACTGTTTAAATGGGTTTGAAGGATGAAACTATTCCTGCCATATGAATTGCCTTTTTTTTCCATTTCTGATGTCAGGAACATAGAAGCTGTTGCAAATTGTGTATATATGACCAAAAAATTGAAGAAGAAAAAGAAACAAAGATGCTAGTTATATATAACTCTGAAATAATATACATATTAGGTGTGTTATGCACGTCAGCTTATGAACTAGTCATGAGTTTACTGCAAAGGCTTGTTTTATTTATTTAATTTCAAAAGATAATAACCATTTCTACAACATATTTGTGCCCATTCCCAAATACTTTTCCAAGAACTCTCCCAAATATCAGTAAAAAAAACCCCTTCAATTTTATTCTCATTGTGATAATCTTTATTTAAATGGATTTTAAGGATAAAATGGCATATGAATTGTCATTTGTTAATTTTTGGTGGTGGGATAATAGAAGCTGTTGTAAGGAATGAGTATCTGTATATGTGAGAAACTGAAGAAGAATAAAAAAGACAAAGATGCTAATTATGTGATTTCTCTGAAATAATATACA